CCGGCGGGTACCCGGCAGGTAGCGGTTCCGATTAAATGAGAACCGGAACTGGAACCGCTTAAGGCGGTTCCAAAACATTAGGAACCGGAATTGGAACCGCCTAAGGCAGTTCCGGTTCCAAAACCGGCAGTTCCGAGGCGGTTTCGGTTCCGAAAGCGGGTACCCGGTTCCGTTGCTCATCCCTATATATCTCACCTAGATACATCATTTGTCATTGAAAGCCATTTTTAGTACTATTTAGTGAATAATCAATTAAAGGGTGTGTTCGGTAAAAATAACTGGTAGCAGGTAGCATTTTGGATTTAAAGCGTTTTGTTTAAACTAAACGCTAGAAGTTTGTAGTGTCAAACGAGATTTTCTGTTCAAAACAGAGTGTTTTGTCAAACGCTCCTAAAGGCTCCGTGCCGAACACGGGTAAAGTATAAAATACAAATCATGAAAGATGCGATATACTTGACATAAAATCATATTTTTATTAAATCTAAATTCATAGTATAAAACATTTACTGTATAAAATAATAATATTTTGTTAATGAATTGTTTTATTGTAACTTCACAATATATAAGTTGATTAGTAGCTAGTGATCAGTTGTAAATTTAACATCAATCGTTATAATCTTTATGTATATACTGTATTCATAAGACTTTAGTTATTAAATTTAAACCACTTTTCTAGTTATTTAAAATAAGGTCGTTTATCATTGTCGACGTTTATATTATATTGATGTTTAAATCATATTTTTCATATTTTACTTTAATAAAATGGGGCGCTACACACCTAGGATTGGTGTTCACCTCCTAAAAAGGTACAACATTAATCCACCAATATTTTTGTATCAAATATAAAAATGCTTCTTAAGAAAACATTATCATATATAGAAAACATTAAAAACCTTTAAAAAAGAAAACATTATCATATATAGAAAAACTTAGGGAACGCATTAAAGTATTTTGGAATAATTGTTAATACAAAAGTAAATATATTTTATTTCATTTTTTAAACCAACTAGATTCAGTTACTTTTTTGGGAGATAAAAATATTTTTGTGCATAATTATGCATTCTCAAGTTGGAAAGAAAATTATTAAATATATAGTGATATAATGTGAAATTTTATAAAACTCTTTGATGTGATTCCATTTATCTGTTAAATCTTTTATTATTTCTACATTTAATATAGAGTTAAATCATTCAACATTTTTCAATTGGTTTAAAATAAATAAAAAAAAAAAAAAAAAAAAAAAAAAAACCAAACCTTAGGAACAAGAATTAATTTTCTTTTTCTTTATTTTCTTCCAAACCACTTTTTCTCCATATATTCTCTCAAAAAAGCAACTTAAAATCTTTTACAACGGATCCTTAAATCACAAACGATATAAAATAAAACAAAATTAAATCCATCTCCTCGATCCAAGTTTAATTATGCATAAACATAAATATCTAAAACTTTAGTTAATCCTTGCACATAAGGCTGGCCAATGATTCACAAAGCCAACAAACATTCTCAATGATCGTATTGATACTAGTAATAAACGAACCATGAGCCCCATTGGAATCCACAATATCTTGACAACGTTTAACCTCGTCTCCAGCAGAATGAATGTCGTAACTAGTCAAAGAACAGTCATCTTCTGACATGCAAATCTTCAAACTCGTGATCGTATTATTATACGCATCCATGCAATCACTGAGAGATTTCATCACACCAGGAGGACCAGCTGTCACTCCACGGAAGTAATCTCGTGTCTTGGTTGCATTTTTTACTGCGAAATCAACAGCGATCTGTGTAACGATGGTTATATTTTGTGCAAACTCGCTCCTGCTATCAGATTTTAGGACCTCTAAGCAGAGATTAGGATTGTCTTGTTTGCTACAAACTTGGTTAACGAACTCGTATGGGGGAGAAGAGTAGACATTTGATATCGAGGAAAGCAAAGTAATCAAGAAAAAGAAAAAGATTTTTGTGAAGGACAAAGAAGTCATCGTTACAAGTACGATGTTTGCTCTTATCTTAGATGTAGACAAGGCTGTATGACTTTGGCTACAAGCGCAAGAAAACATGCATTATATAAGACTAAATTGGACTATTTATGATAATTAAACATTTTTTCAAACAAAGAAATAGTTAAAATAAGCTAATTTGACATCAATTCACTTAACTTCCTTACCCTTTTTGTCTCTCTCTCTAAAATTAATATATATATATATATATATATATATATATATATATATATATATATATATATATA